CGCATGCCCATGATGACAAGCTGGTAATTCACTTTTTTCAATACAGTTTGATTGGGGAAGCCTTGAGTTGGTATATGCATCTTGAGCGTACCCGTATTCGTAGTTGGAAAGACTTGACTGATGCTTTCCTAAAACAATACAAATACAATATTGATATGTCTCTTGATAGGTTGTAACTGCAAAAGATGATTAAGAAGGAAAATGAGTCATTCAAAAAGTATGCGCAGAGATGGCGTGAACTAGCGGTCCAGGTAGAATCTCCCTTATCTGAGAAAGAAATGGTGGCTATATTCATTGATACTCTTCAGTCACCCTTCTATGATAGAATGATTGGAAGTGTATCATCAAACTTTTCAAATATTGTAATCATAGGGGAAAGGTTAGAAAGAGACATGAGAACAAGAAAGATTCTCAACAATTTTGTTGGGATGGCTAACACAAAGAAGCCTCAATTTGGAATGGGCAAAAAGAAGGAAGGAGAGACTAATGTTATAACTTTTCACCCAAGAGAAGTTCATTTCATCAAACGTAACCATGCACCTTTTCAATTCCAACCTCCATTTTCTGCCCTTCAAATGTCTTACCCATATGTCAATGCCATTTCACAGAACCTAAGTTCCCAATCATATCAGTTACGACCTTACCAACTTGCTCCGCCTACTTTTCCCATGGCACCGCACATGAGACCACCTCAATATTGGAAACAAAACTTGAATGCTAACCAAATAAGACCCCAAAACAATCAAGAAAGGAAGCAAGTTCAATTTGACCCAATCCTCATGTTCTACACTGAGTTGCTATCTCGCCTATTCCAAAGTTCATTAGTTATACTTTGTACAATAAAACCTGTAGAACTGCCCTATCCAAGAAAGTATGATCCAAATGCTAAGTGTGAGTGTCATGCTGGTGGCATTGGTCATTCGACAGAGAACTGTAGGGCATTAAAGTTCAAAGTGCAAGACTCAATTAATGCCAAATGCTTGAATTTCAAGGAGGATATTCCTAACATTAGGAGTAATCCCCTACCTGGACATGAAGGACCATCAATAAATGCTATTAAGAAAGAGTATGGCAAAGTTTTGAAGAGAAAAGTTGAAGATGTTATAACTCCTCTAAAGGTTTTTTTTTTCTGAATTGTGTAAGACTAATTTGATCAAGGTTATGTCCATGAAGAAAATATGTGTGATTTACACACCCTGATGCGAACCACTCCATTGAAGATTGTGAAGAATTTAAGCATGTTTTACAAACCCTAATAGATAAACATTTGGTCCAAATTGGGCACCCTAAAGAGAAAATGAAGTTTTGACTATTGATGAACAATACCTAGCCTTGCCAAAACCTTTGGTCATTCATTATACCAAATGTGTGAATACCCTAACTACTAATGGACCTAGACCCATCACTATATGAATACCAGCTCCATTTCCTTACAAAGACAACAAAGTAGTACCATGGAAGTATGATGCAAGGGTTTATGTCAGTAATTTGAAGGAAAACCAAACACAAGGTGTTAGTTCTGATACCCTTGCTATCTCAAACATTACTGGTGTTGGCGGGATGACCCGCAGTAGTCATATTTATACACTTGAGGAGCCGAGAAAAGAGTGAGCAAAAGAGATAGAAAGATCCTTAAAAGGGAAAGCCAAATTGGGCGAGTTTGAAGATGCTGATGAAGAGAAAATGCCTGAAATAAAGAAGGCAGTGTCTGATGAAGAAGCTTGTGAGTTTTTGAAATTTATTCAGCAAAGTGAATATCAAATTGTGGAACAGTTAAATAGAACTTCAGCAAGAATATCTCTTTTATCGTTGTTACTGAACTCTAAGCCATATAAGAGGACTCTTTTGAAAGTGTTGAATAAGGCTCATGTCAGCCATGATATCACTACCGACAAGTTTGGAGACATTGTTGGTAATATTGTTTCAAATAACTATCTCACCTTCACTGATGATGAAGTACTTGCCAAAGGAATGGGGCACAATAAAGCACTGCATATTTCTGTGAAATGTCAAGATCACATTATTGCTAGAGTGCTTATTGATAATGGGTCTTTTTTGAATGTGATGCCAAAAGCAACATTGTCAAAATTACCTTGTGATGGGTCGCATATGAAACCTAGTGCTATGATAGTAAGAGCTTTGGATGGAACAAGGAGAGAGGTCATTAGAGAAGTCAAAATCCCAATCCAAATTGGTCCTTGCACCTTTCAAATTTTGTTTCAAGCAATGGACATTGCACCAGCTTATAGCTGCCTTTTGGGGAGGCCTTGGATTCATTCTTTTAGAGTTGTACCATCCATATTGCACCAGAAATTGAAGTTTATTGTTGATAATAAATTGGTGATTGTCTCTGGTGAAAAAGATGTGTTAGTGAGTAAGCCTTCATCCACTCCTTACATCGAAGTTGCTGAAGAAGCTCTAGAGACTTCTTTTCAGGATTCAGAGATTGTCAATGCTACTTATGTTGGAGATAGAGCTCCAATCATGAAGCCTCGACTGTCTAATACATTCATAATGACTGCTAAAGTCATGCTTGAAGGAAGTTATCAGTATGGATACGTATTAGGGAAAGCCATGTCAAAAGCAAAAAAATGGCTACAACTCCATGAGAATAAGGATAGGTTTGGGGTTGGGGTATATACCCATTAAGGCTGATAAGAAAAGAGTCATAGAGGAAAAGAAAGAAAAAAGATTAGTCAAGTTGGAGGGTAAAGAGCCTAAAAGTAAAAGGGTCTCCATTTGTGATCTTCTGAAGAGCTTTTATAGTGCTGGATTTGAGTTTCAAGAGTCAATGTCTGCTATTGATGAAAATGTACCTGAGGAAAAGGTTGTGAACCTAGTCCGCACTTGTCCGTTGACCACAAAAGTTGGCAATTGGGAGATCATTGAGCTTCCTATGATTTTTACTGGCTATTCAAAGTAACCATTGAAGCTAATCCCATTGTTTTGTCTCAAAGCTTTAGGATATCATTACTTTTTGAAAAGACTGATATATAATTTCTTTTTGTAATTTGAAATATTAGTTTGTTAAGTAAGTTGAGACACATGTTTCCATTTAATTATATTTTTAAATGAAATGGAGTTTGAATTCTTAGTAACCTTTCGTGTCTTCCTTCTTTATAGCTTAAATCTTGTCGTTTATTTTCTTTTTGTCTCAACTCTCAGACAATGTAGATATGATAGTGACATGTCTAAAAGAAACCGTGCTAATTTTTCATCTACTAATTTTGATTGTTCTATCAATCAAGCTGTCGAAGATCTTAGTGATGGTGATTTATCCTCATAATTTCTAAGATTGGTTGATCAAGAAGTGAAAGAGATCCAACCTTATGAAAAACCCACTGAGATGATTAATTTAGAGACTGAAAATGATAAGAGAGAAATCAAAATAGGCACCCTCATGAAAAAACAAGAGCGCGACAAGTTGATTAAACTATTGCATGATTATAATGATGTCTTCGCATAGTCATATCAAGATATGCTTGGACTAGATGTTGACATAGCCAAGCATAGATTACCACTGAAGCTAGAGTGTTTCCCAGTTAAGCAAAAATTAAGGAGAATGAAACCTGAGATGTCATTCAAGATTAGGGAGGAGGTTAAGAAGTAATTTGATGCAGGTTTCCTTGTCGTTGCAAAATACCCCCAATGGGTTGCCAACATTGTGTCAATTCCTAAGAAAGATGGGAAGGTTCGGATATGTGTTGACTATCAGGATCTAAATAGAGCCAGCCCTAAAGATGATTTTCCATTGCCTCACATTGATATGCTAGCAGATAATACAGCTCAACATTCATTCTTCTCTTTTATGAATGGTTACTCGGGTTATAATCATATCAAAATGGTTGAAGAGGATATGGAAAAGACCACATTCATTACATCTTGGGGTACCTTTTGCTACAAGGTCATGCCTTTCGGTTTGAAAAATGCTGTGACAACATATCAAAGGGCGATGGTGACGTTATTTCATGATATGATACACAAGGAGGTTGAAGTCTATATGGATGATATGATTGCCAAATCAAGGACTGAAGAAGACCATGTTGTAAATTTACACAAGTTGTTTGAGTGGTTGAGGAAGTTCAAATTACGATTGAACCTTAGCAAATGTACCTTTGGGGTGAAATCAGGCAAGTTATTGGGATTCATAGTCAGTCAAAAGAGAATAGAGGTTGATCCTGACAAGGCAAAAGCAATCATTGAAATGTTGTCTCCTCACACTGAAAAGGAAGTTTGCAAATTTTTGGAGAGATTCAATTATATTGCTCGATTCATATGCCAACTAACTGCCACTTGTGAATCAATTTTTAAGTTGTTACAAAAAAATCAGCCGATGGAATAAAATGAGGATTGTTAAGAAGTTTTTAAGAAGATAAAGCAGTATTTAGAAAATCCTTTGATACTAGTGTCACCAGTGCTAGGGAGACCACTCATTATGTATTTGACAGTGTTAGACGGATCCATAGGATGTGTTTTAGGTCAGCATGATGAATCAGGTCAGAAAGAACATGTCATTTATTACTTGAGCAAGAAATTCATTGATTATGAAGCTAGATACTCTTTGTTGGAGCGAACCTGTTGTGCTTTGACTTAGGCAGCTCATAGGTTAAGGCAATACATGTTGAGTCACATGACTTGCTTGGTGTCAAAAATGGACCCAATCAAATACATTTTTGAGAAGCCAGCCCTTACTGGAAGGATTGCTCATCGGCAAGTCCTATTGTCAGAATAAGATATTGTGTATGTTACTCAAAAAGCAATCAAAGGTAGCGCTCTCGCAAATTTCTTAGCTCATTAACCGTTGAATGATTATTAGTCAATACAGTACAAATTTCCTGAAGAAAATATAATGGTGTTGTTTAATGAGAAAGAATCTTTAGCAAAAGACGAATGGGTCATGATGTTTGATGGTGCTTCTAATGCACTCAGACATGGGATTGGTGCTATACTGATTTCCCCAGTAATATATCCCAATCACAGCTAGATTATTATTTGATTATATGAATAATGTAGCTGAATATGAAGCATGTGCTATGGGAATTCAAGCAGCTATAGAGTCAAAGATTAAAATTCTCGAGGTGTATGGTGACTCAGCTTTGGTCATTCACCAGCTGAAAAGTGAATGGGAAACTCGAGATGCCAAATTGATCTCTTATCAAGCCTATATTAGAGAATTGGTGGAGTATTTCGATGAAATTACTTTCCAGCATATTCCTCGTGAGGAGAATCAATTGGCTGATGTTTTAGCCACTTTGTCATCAATGTTTGTAATGAGTCAAAAGGAAGACATGTCGTTCATAAAGATGCAACAACTTTATTATCCTGCCTATTGTCAAATGATTGAAGAAGAATCTAATGGTAAACCTTGGTATCATGACATTAAAAATTTCCTACAACACCAAGAATACCCATCAAATGCAGCTGAAAATGACAAAAGGACATTGAGAAAATTAGCAATGAGTTTCTTTCTGAATGGAGATGTGCTTTACAAAAGGAATGATGATATGGTTCTGCTCAGATGTGTGGATGCTTTAAAAGCACGAAAGATCATGGAAGAGATCCATGAAGGTTCATTTGGGACTTATGCCAATGGACATGCCATGGCAAGAAAGATTTTAAGGGCTGGATATTACTAGTTGACAATAGAGGTCGATTGCTTTCATTATACAAAGACATGTCATAAATGCCAAACATATGCTGATAATATTAATGTTCCCCCAACAACTTTGAATGTTTGATCATCACCCTAGCCTTTCTCAATCTGGGGAATTGTGTTATTGGACCCATTGAACCTAAAGCCTCTAATGGTCATCGCTTCATTCTAGTTGCTATTGACTATTTCACAAAATGGGTTGAGGCTGCCTCATATGCTAGTGTGACCCAAAATGTGGTGGTGAGATTCATTAAAAAGGATTTCATTTGTCGGTATGGCCTCCCAAACAAGTTGATAACAGACAATGGCATTAATCTGAATAATAAAATGATGAAAGAATTGTGTGACAATTTTAAGATTCGACATCATAATTCATTTTCCTATCATCCAAAGATGAATGGAGCAGTTAAAGCAGCCAATAAAAATATTAAGAAGATCATTCAAAAGATGGTGGTGATATACAGGGATTGGCATGAAATGTTGTCATTTCCCTTACATGTATATCAAACTTCAGTTCGTACTTCAATTGGGGCAACTCCATACTCTTTGGTATATGGAATGGAAACAATACTTCCTATTAAGGTTGAAATTCCCTCTTTAAGAGTAATGATGGAGACCAAATTGGAGGAGGCAGAATGGGTTCACTCTCGTTTTGTACAATTAAATCTCATTGAAGGAAAATGGTTGAATGCGTTATGTCACGGTCAACTATACCAGAGAAGGATGAAGAAGGCTTTTGACAAAAAGATTCGTCGAAGAGAATTCAATAAGGGAGATATGGTGCTCAAAAAGATTTTGCCAACGCATAAAAATTATCGTGGCGAGTGGTCTCTAAATTATGAAGGACCCTACGTGGTAAAAAGGCTTTGTCAGGAGGAGCTCTAATCCTCACAAACATGGATGGACAAGATCTTCCAAACCCCATCAATTCTGATGTTAAAATAAAAATAAAAAAGAGAAAAAAAAAAGAAAAGAAAAGAAAACAGCTTGCTAGGTTGAAAACCCGAAAGTGAGACCTAGGCAAAAGTTAGAACGACCTAGTGAGTCGAAAACTCGAAAGAACGGCTCAGGCAAAAATTAGGGTCAAATAAATTTTACATTGAACTAAAAACCTGAAAGAGCGGTCCTCAAATTGGAAAATATGATGCACTAGAATACTAAGCTGGGGCAAATTTTGAGAGGTTAAAGTTGAATCAAACAAAAGATGAAATCAAAATATCATACTGGGGCAATTTTATTTGGCTGTGTTGTTAATGGATGATCAATTTACATGAGAGATTAGCATTGTTCATCTGGAAGATGTCACTTAATTGGCATAATGCTTCACCATTTTTGTAGTTATTCTGATCATTTGTTTAATGTATTTGTTTCTTTTTCATGTCGTAAGTCTTCTTTATAAGATCACCATTTCCTTATTATAGTGATCCTGTTTTCTAAAAAAATTTATTTGTCTCTAGCTTTTGCCACCTCTCGTTCAGTTTATACGCTACTTCCTTACTTTGTTTATGTAAACTCTTTAACAATATTATTCAATGATTTTATTGTCATTTGAGTAATTATATACTAAAAGGAAACATATAAATTGTTAAAAGAGCAATAAGAAAATACAATTACAATGATAGACTTTAAAAATTCACACAATAAGTCTAATGAATTTCCTGATAAGTACAACATGACAGAAGAAGTTGATTCCTTTTGACAATTCAAAAATAAATGGCAATCCAATTTTATTGATGCCTCGCTCAACTTAGATTCCATGAAAAGATTGATCCTGACCGAAAAGCGTACTCATTCATGAACCTTGAGATGCATGTTCTCATAAGGTTGAAAACTAGAATCCTCGAAAAAAAAAGTTTGTTTTAATTTGATGTCTCACCACATCATTTAACATTATCATGCATTAATTTTCTTTGTATGTTAACATTCATCCAGTTTTTACAATCATATCATTACATTAGCATGTATTTGTTCTTATCCATTGTCACCTTTTAAAGTTTAATTTAAATTCATTATCTGCCTTACAACCTTTATGTTCAGTCCAAGTCTATGATCTAACTGAGTTCTTTACCTTTCATCAAAATTCAGAAGCTGACTTATCTTCCTCTTTTTTGTCTTAATTTTACTATTAAAATTCAGAGTCTGATTGTCTTTTTATTTTCTTTTGCAATCCAAAACACGATCGACCTTTTTCTTTTTTCTATTTTTTTTTTTACCTTTCTTGTCCAAGTCTCTTTACGTTTTTGTCGAAGGCTAAAACTTGATGGCATCTTTCACTTTTTCTCAAAGTCCAGCACCTGACTGGCACATCTTCACTTTTTGGTCAAAGTCCAGAACCTAACTGACACATTTTTCTTCTCTGTCAAAACCCAGAACCTACCTGGCACATTTCACTTTTTTGTTAAAGCCCATAACCAAACTGGCACATTTTATTTTTCTGTCAAATCCTAGCACCTGACTAGTGATCAATTGAATTTTTATAACCTTATTTCCTCTTATTCCGAGCTCATTAATCCTCTTTTGTGCCTAATTGGTTTGAATTGGATCATTTTATGATGTTTGAATTTTATTTGGGCTTTATTTAACTTTTCCAGTATTTGGCAAATTCTGATACTGTTTTGGTTTCTAGACCATATCTTGAGTTGTAGAACTCATTTCATTGTGATTCTTGATTTTTAGGAAAGCTAAGAGAAAGACGCACAATTCTTATGTAGAGGTCAAAACCCAATTCTGATGATAAGAAGCTAAAACTAGGCCTGGAAAAAGTCAAAATGCTACACTCGTAGTTTCTAACCTTGGTGCAGTATTTGGGCCATATTTCAGTCCATAGATGTCCGTTTAAGCCCATTCTAAGAGTGTTTTGAAGCTAACATCTAGGACTACAATTTCTATTCATATCAGAAATCAAATCAGATAGATCTTCACGGCCAAAAATGCCACACAATATCTTCTCAGATTCAGCATGGATGTTGGGCAGCAATTACAAGCATAACTTTCCCTCCAAAATTCAAACTAGAACAAATAAGGATTCCAAAGACAGTTATTGAGTAGAGGATTAATGTAATTGAACAATTATTAATTAGTTTTTACATTTTAACCCTTAAGAGCCTGTATTTAAATTAGGGCAGCAGGCTGTAAAAGGGTAGGTAGAGATGTTAGGTTAGATTAGGTTTATGTTTTAGGGTTTTTGTTTTCTTCTTTTTTTTCTCTTCCGTTTTTACCTTTCGTTTTCCTCCATTATAGAGACTTAGACTTTCATCTAGTCCAAGGATTGAAAAAAGGCTAAGACACTCTTGAGGATCGATTTCACAATTTATTCAACAACAAATTCGGTTTCATCTCTTCCTTCTTTCTCCTTTTGCTAATTATAATTTTGAATTGAAGTTCTTCGTTTGGATTGATAATTATGCTGTTGTTTGGTTACATATTATTTGGTTGATGTATGTAATTAATTCTTGAAGGAGTGTGAATTAGATTTGTAAGTTTGAGATCTAAGATTAATGGCGTTAGTGAATTAAATTAACACAAATCGATTAGGTTCTAGAGGATTCTGAACTTTGAGCGAATTGTGTGTTAATCGAATGCATGAGGGTTCTCGTGTGAGTGCTTAATTTGAATTGAGGTTTCATTCAAATTTAATGTTAATCACTAATTTGTTGGTTGATGCATCTTCTTGGAATCCGGTGATAGAGTGGTTGTAGTTCTTCTAAATTCTTGGATTAGAGCCTTTAATTCTTGTTAACTTTTGATTCTAATTAGTGTTATCTCTAAATTTATAATCATATAACGTTATCATCATTGGGAGACGACTCGAATTGCACATCTTACTACATAATTTTTATGCAATTCGATTTTTATTAATTTGTCCGAGCGCGATACTCGCGATCAACTGGCACCTTTTACTTCTCTTCCATAGTCTAGAACCTGACTGACACTTTTCACCTTTTATCTTATTGTTTAAGCCCAGTATCTACCTAGCAACCTTTGTTTTTAGTTAAAAGTCAATGTCGCTTTACAATTTCGTTTAACACAAATCGTCATAAATTATTACTTCCTTTAACAACTGAGTATTCACTATATTTGTCCTTGTATTTCTTGCACACCTTGTTCATTTTAGACGAAATTAGCTCACATCTTTACTCAATTTTTATTATTGTAATATGAAATTTGTTCATACATGTTATTTGATAAAAATTGAGTAAAGAGAGGCAATTGTGAAAACTAATTTTTTACCTCCAATTTCTTTTAAATATATAAAAATAAAATATATACATTTTTTTACAAAAAAATGAAATTTTTGAAAAGGATTGGTCCCCAGAAACAAAAGCTTGCACTATACAGGCTCATACCCAGTATCAAAAACCAATTTTAAACATGAAAATAGAAATACTCAGAATTTTTGGCTCTTTGTAAGAAAACCCTAAATGACTCGTACAAATACACAAGTAAGGGATTTGAGAATGGGGGCTTTTCATAAACAAGAAAGAATTTTAAAGAGCGAAAAAATCTTCTTCTTCTTTTTAAAAAAAAAAGGAGATTTTCAAGAGAGTGTTTCAAAGTGGGAAAGAGATTGGAGAGTGACAGATTTTTAAGAAATTTTTAGAGAGATCTGAGAAAAGAAAGGAAACAAAAAAAAATAAAATATTATACCTACCATTAATCACTACTGGATCATTCCTTCATCTTTCCTCCTTTTATTCTCCAAGTTAGCGTTCATTTCTCCTCTTTGTATTTTTCAAATTGCATTGTTTCTTACTCTGCATTTTCAAACTTGTTGGAGAAGTGAAAATAAATAAGATAAAAGAATGAGATAGAAGTACTACTAACTCGTATTATCCTTTCTTTTTTTAGTTTTATTTTATTTTATTAGTTTAATAAATATGATTTGATTTAACATAAAAGTTACGTTAAAACTCAAGAGTACAGTATCCTTAGCACTACGGTGTAGTTTGCCATGTTCATATGTCAATCAAAATAATCATTTTA